CATATTAACGAGGTTTGATCAGCGAGGTGTGGCAGAGCTCCATTCAGATCCACTACTGGATGACTGCAAGACAAAGATGAGCAAATTGAAGAGTTTGAAACTGAGAAATTTAATTACCTAATCAATTAATTCATTTTCATGGTGTCCTGTTTTTTTATTTTATTGTTTTTTTCGTGGTGTGACGAGTTTATGAATGAATTCAAACAACTTCTTATTTCGAGTCAGTGATCATAGCGATGGCCCTTTATGTTGTTAAACCAGTCCCCCATTAATTAAATTCCACATTAATGAAAGCCTCGGCAGTCTCACGCCGCAGCTGGACTCAGGCGGAGAGGTGACAACCGTTGTGTTCATGCTTCAAAGAAGAGGAGACAGGCGCAGCTATTACGCTGTGGCCGAGGATGTGTCTGCCGCTTCCCCTAGAAACAATCAGCAGACAGCATTCTGGGAGCTCATTACGGCAGCCTCTGAGCTGGAGGAAACGCTGCAGTGGTGGGGAATCGGGGAGTTCAGTTCAGTGCGTTCAGCCTCAGCTGTGCTAACAGTCTTTTGGTGAGAGACGCCTGGGCGTCAGCCAGCATGATAAACCCACAGTGACAGCCTGGGATTTGCATGAGCTTCTCCTCCCTTCCCACAAGCATTCATTTAAAAGTTTGTAAGGTGCACAGGGACGGGGGCTTGGGAAGAGGGTGTGTGGCTGCTGAGGAAAGTCGGGAAAAACACATTTTGTTGAGTCAAAGCAGTCTTTTACCAAAATTTGGTAAAGAATTAAATGTCATGTTATGTCATGTCAAATTTATTTATATGGCACATTAAAAGCTGCACCAAAGTGCTGCGCAGAGAGAACAACAATAAAAAAAAACAGAGTATCAAATGATACTTCAATTAAAAGCCAAAGAATAAAAATGAGTTTTAAAAAGCGATTTAAAATGATCCAGGCTGTGGGCAGATCTAATCTGGAGAGGTAAGTTGTTCCATAAAACAGGAGCGGCAACAGAAAAAGCCCGATCTCCTTTCCTCTTAAGTCGAGTCCGAGGAACTGTCAGTAATAACTGGTTATTTGATCGCAGGGTTCTGGGCACAGACTGAAATTATAAAAGATCCCAAAGATAGGGGGGGGCTAGCCCATTTAAAGCTTTGTAAGTTAATAAAAGAATCTTAAAATCTGTTCGAAAAGGAACAGGCAGCCAATGTAAAGATGCCAGTATAGGCCTTATATGGTCATGCTTCCTGGTTCCTGTAAGGAGCCGTGCTGCTGCATTCTGGATCATCTGYAGTCGCTGCATCTGTGATTTATCCATGCCTTTATATCAGGGGTGTCAAACTCCTGTCCTCGAGGGCCGCTATCCTGCATGTTTTAGAGGTTTTCTTGCTCCAACACACCAGATTTTGATCGCTGGGTAATTAACAGGCTTCTGCCCAATTTGAAGAGTTAATTCAATCACTGAATCAGGTGTGTTGGAGCTGGAAAACCTCTAAAACATGCAGGATAGCGGCCCTCGAGGACTGGAGTTTGACACCCCTGCTTTATATAATGAATTGCAGTAATCCAAACTAGATGTAACGAAGGCATTGACAAGTCCTTCAAAGTCCTTAAAACAGAAYTAAGATTTAACTTTTGCTAAAATCCGCAAGTAATAAAAGCCTGATTTAACGACAGAACTAACTTGTTTATCTAATTTTAAGGAGGCATCAAAAGTGAAACCAAGATTTCTAGCAGAGGTCTGACAGAACCGAGCTAAAGGACCAAGAATCTGATCTAGATTTGTAGTCTGAATTTTTTGACCACTTGAGTTAACTTGAGTTTTACTTTGATTGAGGTGAAGAAAGTTCTGTTCCATCCAAGGTTTAACTTCAACCAAAAAGTCTGTCAATAGCTGAAGAGATTCATTTGTTCCATTTTGTATCTTAAGGGGCATATAAATCTTGACATCATCCACAAAGCAGTGAAAGGAACTATTAAATTTATGAAAAATCTGACCAAGAGGCAAAAAATATAAGATAAATAAAATAGGACCTAACATTGAGCCTTGGGGAACGCCATGCTTTAAAGGTTTAGCCCCAGAACAGCATTGGTCAAGATGAACGGAGAAAGGTCTGTTTTCCAAATAATATTTAAACCATTCAAGTACTGGTCCTCTCAAGCCAACACAATATTTTAATCTATGTAAGAGAATCTGATGATCTACAGTGTCAAATGCGGAGCTCAGACCTAGAAGTAATAAAACTGCAACATTGCCCGAATCGACTGTTGAAAGGAGATTAAAGTGCAATTAGACTTCACAACATTTAACAGCTTCATTCATCCCATGTCACAAACTGTGACACTAATAATTTTAGTGAATAGCTAGTAGCTAAAACTATTTTCAGGGGTTCCATAATCTTGTTAGGTGGCTTATTGTGTTATGCTTAATATGTGTTCACTGTCTCCTCCAACTGGTGTTCCACCATCAGCCATGTCAAATCCATTCTTTCCGCCTCAAATTCACTTCTCCCTAAATTCTTCTGTGTGTCTGTGTGTTCCCCCTCATAGAGCCGCAGCCCGCGACATTCCCAGTCGACCCAGTCTGGGCTCGCCGACCAGGCTGCCAAGCTTTCCTTTGCCTCCGCTGAGTCCCTGGAGACCATGTCAGAAGCAGACATTCCTCTCGGGTTCAACCGGATGAACCGATTTCGCCAGAGCCTGCCACTGTCTCGCTCTGCCAGCCAGAATAAGCTCCGATCTCCAGGTAAAGATTTGAAGCGACACTGGCAGGCAGGCCCTGTCACAGCAGGCTGGTTAAAGTCGAAACAGACTTGCGGGGGGGTTCTGTAATTTCTGCAGCAGGAGATTTGAACCATTGTCTCAACTATCGGTAGGAGAAAGAGTAAAAGTCTAAATATTTTTACTATCTATTCATGTCTGCAGTTTACCTTTTTTATGTTAAGAATGAAATTATAAATTAAACATAATTTTTTTTTATCATGAGCTAAACCAAATTATACTGTTTAAAGGAGTTTACTCCAGTAATGTCAACATTTATTGGTATGTGGTTCTGAAATGCATATCTACACTCAATACTGCAATAAAATCTTTCTAAAAACCAAGTGAAGGCTTGAATCAGATGATTCACTTAAACTAGGCTGGCCATAGTGCGTAGGTAAACAAATATGCCGGAATCAGACCGTGTAGAATCAAACAGAAGACTTTTAGGTGGTAAAAGAAGAGTAAATATATAGAGCCCATAAGAGGACGTGGGGGAAAATAAATAAATAAAATGATCCTGACTTAGTTTCCTGCAGAAGTTTCTTAGGATCCTGTAAAAGTTTCTCAGGAGAATCCTATGAAACATATGAAACTTTTGCAGGATCCTGAGAAACTTTTGCAGGATCCTGAGAAACTTTTGCAGGATCCTGAGAAACTTTTGCAGGATCTTAAGAAACTTTTGCAGGATCCTGAGAAACTTTTGCAGGATCCTGCAAAGTAAGTCGGGATCGTTAAGTTATTTTTCCCCCCGTCCCCTTATGAGCTTCGTATGAATCAGCTTTTCACATTTTGTTTTTCAATCTTTTAATTTAGCGACATATAAGTAATCATGAAAAATAATGTGCAAATTTTCTTCAGTACTTCAAATACTTCCAGTTTACACAATTTTTATCCCTAATATTTATTTTTATTTATTTTATTTTATACATTTTCCCACAAATAAGAACTCTAACATTGAGTTTACTATAATTAAGAAGAAATAAGACCTAATTATCTTATTTGCTGAAGCAGTTATTTTGGTGAATATTAATTCCTCTGCACCAGCGTTAATCATACAGGTCCGAGGTTATTATTGTGTTCCAGCGCACAAGCAAACAGCAGATTTATGGAAAGGTTTGCAGCCACGGGGCTTTTGGAGTTTAAACAGGATTAGTGTAAAGCCTGTGCAGACACATAAACACCAAGTTGTGGACATTTTGAAGTTTGAGCAGAAAACGCCAACCTGCATGTCTTCCTTGTTTTTCTTCTAACCCAATGTCTCTTTTATTCTTCTCATTTTAACTTGTCTGCAGCAGCTCTTATGTTTTGCTCAAGTTGTAATTACTGTTCTTTTTCTTTGCTTTGTTTGTTCTTTTGTTTGTCTCATCATGTATGAAGATGAATTATCAGGTTAGTCAGGCATTATACACATTTTAACACATTTGGTTGAGTATTTTTCCATAAGCTATATTGAGTTATTGCTTACTCCTCTWTGCCATTTGATTATTTATAAAGTTTTGTTCAGTTTAAATCTGAATTCTCAGCCAGCTTTTCAAATTCTGATTATTCTTTGAAACATCTTATAATGAAAGCTTTTGTTTATATCTCATATGCCAAAAAGCACAATGTGTGGATCATAACTTTCACTGCAGTTTGAAAAATGGGCCTCAGGATTTAAAAGAGTTACTTTGCTAGTTTTTTTTTCCTTTTACCCACTCATCAAACTCCTTTTTTAAACTCTCTTTTTTTTAGGCGTGCTGTTCCTGCAGTATGGAGATGAGACACGTCGAGTTCACATCACCCACGAGCTGAGCAGCATGGACACGCTGCACGCTCTTATCGTGCACATGTTCCCTCAGAAGCTAACGGCGGGGATGCTGAAGTCGACCAACACGGCTATCCTGATCAAAGACGAGGCCCGGAACGTCTTCTACGAGCTGGAGGACGTCCGGGACATTCAGGACCGCAGCATCATTAAGATTTACCGCAAAGAGCCCATTTATGCTTCTTACCCTGCGACTGCACATCTGGCTAACGGTGACCTGAGGGTGAGCAGAGGGGTTTCTGGGGAGTGACGACACCAAACTGGGTTACTGTTATCTGATTTCCTGCCGATTTGAAATCTYCCAGCTTAGTCGTCAGTAATAACCGCTATGATTTTGACTAAGTAGACAATTTCCAGTCTTTGACAAAGATTGTGTGTCTTTCTTTTGGCAATGGTAACTTTTCACACTACAACTGTGCATTGGGGTTTGTACTGTAACAGGTTTRCCCCTTGGAAATGCATTTTTTTTTCATCTTGAGGGAGACCATCTGTTGCCGAGAAGACGACAAAGAACGATGCTCCTCTGGAAAATGAGCATATTTTAGCATTTGAAGCTATTTCTGCTTCAGTAAAGATCAAGCAAGCCGCAGGGAGATGTTTTTTTTTAATTATTTGATACAAAACCCTGCTTACCATCTGCATTATTCACACAAAACTGGGAATACAGCTACTGTTATTTATGCAAGGAAGGCTATAAAAACTGTGCATGTGTACCGCCTGTGTGCGTGTGTGTTGTTTGTGTTCAGGCATGTTTGTGTTTATAACTTTATGTGCTATAAACAAACAAAATATATATATATATATATACACAAAAAAACTGGTTCACAGATGCCCCCCAAGCTTCATTCGATAGCTGAAAATAGTTGGTTCTGTTTGGCCCTGGGAAGAGAAATGAATGTTCTCTGTCAGTGTTGTCCAGGGTGCTGAGAAACAAATTAAAAGATGGAAGAAAAAAAAAGAGGTAAAATAAGCACCTAATTTAGTTTTGTGACAAAAATGTTGATTTTGCCATCTGAAAGCTCAGTAAATAAGAAAACCCTTACAGTGTTGGCTAATGTTCTTTAGCCGTGTTGGCCGTCTTTATTTGGGTTGTCTCCAAAAGTCATTCAGTTGCAGATAAACATCCATTCCTRAGTTTCTGAAAGTTTCATTAAAATCTGTCCAGTGGTTAATGAGATATTTTGATAAACCAGAGTTGGGCAGCAACAAAGTAAAAATACTTGAGTTTACTTGAGTCTTTGTGTCCCTGGGCAAGGCACTCAACCCAACCTCCCCATGTATAAATGTGTTGGTGTGGTTGAGGTGGTCTGGGGGGGATCGTAGGTGCAGAATGYCAGCCACACTTCCTCCACAGAGTGTGACTGAGGAGAGAAGGAATGAAATTGTAAAACGTCTTTGAGCGTCTAGACCAGTGCTTTATAAGACTAATTCTTATTTTGTAAATGGAGTTCCTCATCTGTCCAATACAGTAGAAAACATTTTTAATTACTCTCAACTACACTTAAGTGCAAATTTTAAGTATTTTCAGCACTTAAGTCTTTTTGAAAGCAGTCACTCCAGTACTTTAGCTTAAGCCATAATTTGACAGAACTACTTTTGCTTTGATTGGAGTAATATTAGAKAAGTAGGATCAGTACTTTGACTCAAGTAAGGAAACTGAGTACTTTGTTCACCACTGTTGATGCATGAATGTGAAAAACATTATTATCTTACTTCATCTCTCAGCAGTAAGTGATAAAAGCAGAGCTGGGTAGAAAACTAGCAGAAGTGCGGTGATGGTGGGAGCTCTCATTTGATGGGTAGTTAGGTCTAATGTTATCTTGTGCTTTTTATTGCCACTCTGTTATAGGTATTATAAATATATAAGTTTATTTGCTGCTAAACAAAATTAATCATGCGTTACTTCTTAAACCAAAAAGTACAACTGCAGTCACATTTTTACAATCTACATTTTGCTGTTAAACCTATAATCTGCATATTGAGAGATTCATCAGCTCCTATTAACGCCTGCAGGCTGTAACTACCTGCTCAGCAAGCAGAGCCAGTGCAATTCACACACACACACACAGGAAACACAACGCTCTCATTCATGGGTCTCCATGCTAACGCCAATCTTTCCTTGATGGTTTTCAGAGAGAAATGGTGTACTCCTCCCGCGAATCCTCCCCAACGCGCCGCCTCAACACCCTCCCATCCTCCACGGCCTCGGCGTCCTCCGGGTCTCCGTCCCGCTCGCGCCTTTCGTACAGCGGGGGCCGTCCTCCGTCCCTAAGCGGGAACCACCCCCAGCACGAGCAGCAGAGGCATCCGCACCACCCTCCCGCCGGCCACGGTGCCAACATGGGGCTGTCTCCTTCGCCCAGCGCCATCTTGGAGCGCCGCGACGTCAAGCCCGACGAAGAGGTCTCTGCTAAAAAGCTGGCCCTGATGAAAAACGAGAGCCTGTACGCGGATCCGTACAGTTTGATGAACGAGGGGCGCCTCAGTATCGCCTCCACGCAGTCGCTGGCGGCCATCGGGGACCCCTTCAGCTACCCTGTCACCACCGGGCTGTACCGCCGCGGCTCGGTACGCTCCCTCAGCACCTACTCAGCTGCGGCTCTTCAGGGGGACCTGGAGGACTCGTTCTATAAGCCCGGCGGCCCGCTTTACTCCGACACCTACTCCTCTGCCACGCTGGGCATGGGTTTCCGCATGCCGCCCTCATCGCCCCAAAAAATCCCTGACATGCAGCTGAGGGACAGGGACTCTTACTCCAGCTCGCCCAGACCCTCGCCCGTCAGACAGACTTTCCGCAAAGACTCTGCTTCATCGTCTGTGTTTGTGGAGAGCCCAAAGTCGAGGCCCAGCTCTGGGTCAGACCCTTTGTGCCTCACAGGTTTGCCGGGAGAGGGAAACCGGGCCGGACCTGGTTTTGGTTCTTTATCTGGACAAGATGGAGACACCAGCAGGTCAGCTTTATCCTGGGGTTCTTACAATATTCTTTAGTGGCTTACAGCGTTTATAAACCATCCTTTAGAGTTGACTGGTACGCTGTAATTTGCCACTTTGTGCATTTTTGTGTTTGTTTTGTTTGAACTCTTAAAGGGAGCATATCATGCAAAACCCAAATTTTTAGCCATTAAATGCATTTTGTTGTGTACTTGGAGTCTTAAGGGCGTCCAGAAAAATTGAATTAAAGCCTGCAGTATGGTCACTCGGCAGTCGACAGGTTGACGAGCGGCCACGTGGTTGTTCGGCGTTCATTCTCGCACACACCTTCCACAGCTCCTGAGACACCCCGCGCCGAGCTCCTGGGAAACCCCTCCCACTGCAGCATACGTCACTGCATGGGATTTCGTCCGGGTGGATGCAGAAAAAAAAAGTCAGAAACTCGTCACCTGACATTGTTTATCCACACACTGGTCCCGGATTAAAGCTCCAAAGTTTTTATCAGTTAGATTTCACCATGAAAAATGTCTGTTTGAGGCCCTTTTATGAGTTTTTAATGGTTTGTCTATCTTTATAAACTGCTGCTTCCTGGTAACAGTCAGCTCTGGAAGAAAGTCGCTTTTTATTTTTATTTTATTTTTTTGAAGTGAGTGGTTGAAGCCAAACGCAGCGTCTGAGCTCTTGCAGCACAAACACTGCCACGAACTTCTGACCAATCACACAATAAAGTTCTTAAGTGTTCTTATGTGGAGGGGGATGAAAAGTTCAACCTGCGGGTTGCGACAAGAAGTTCCGAAATGTCGACAATGTGAACTGAATGATGCAATTTTTGTCATGAAACTGCGTCAGTTCGGCTGCAACATGCTGGAGCCTTTAGACTTCTGGTCTTGCAAAGATAACTTTATAAATATATATATAAATGTGTTTTTTTCAACCCGTTCAGTTTTCTCTATTTTCTAAAACATTCTCTGAACATCATCTGAACATCTGAAACATCATGGAACTGCCAAATAAGGTCTGAACTTACCAACTACAGTTTGGTGGTCTTCATTCTCCTCTGACTCTGGGTCAGACTTTGGCTGTAAGGCTGAACGGACAAGTCTTCCCTTTATGACATATCTTAATTCATTGGTAAATAAAAACTTTCTGCGCAGCTATATAGTCGTAAACCCCTCTATCAAACCAGAATGGACTGCTCTGGAAGCTGGAGGGGGCGGGGTGTGAAGGGCCTAGTTTGGATTCAAAGAGACAGCCTCAAAAGGATTTAAAAGCATGATATGTCTCCTTTTAAGCAAAAGAGAATTATGTGACAAAGCCAAAATATGACACAAACTTTTTACACCTAATTAAATTTTTCTTGCTTTGATTAGATTTCCTAATCTGTTCATTATTAAATAGCTTTAACTTGTGCGTATGCATTTTAGGGATCATCGCCTGGAGCGTATGGAGGCCATGGAAAAGCAAATCGCCAGCCTTACCGGCCTCGTCCAGAGCGTGTTGACCAGGGCACCAGACAGTGATAGCACGTAAGACCGCTATTATCCCTCATTAGCCCTCTAAAAGTCACAGATACAGCTTCAGCTTCAAGACACAGCAAGCTGTATTGACAGGAACAGTTGCAGGCTATTATCAGAGCCATTATCAGCTCTATAGCTGTGAAGTGCAGCTCTACCTTGCTTGAGCACAGCACAAGTAGAGACCACTAAACATCAGCCGCAGGCGACAGTGCTATTGATCTGTTGCCTGATTTACAGTGGAGGAGTTTGAGATCCTTACCTTCACCGTGTCAAGCTTTTTATCCACCCCTGCATGTACATAACAGAGCTTCATTAACTGGATGATAACTTGCTAATGTCAGCAGTCTTATAGTGTTGGGTAGTGGTGCTGTTCGCATTAGCACTGTAATTGCCTTGCCCTGTGGCCGTTGATCCTCAGATGCGGCCTACTGCGTCTCTGCATGATGGCGGGCTGCCCTCCGGACCAAGGGACGGAGTTTTCACGGCCATTACCTTTCTCTTCCAGCGAGAAGACGGAAACCAACAGTGATGGCTCGGCCACTGGAAGTGAGTACTGCGAGTAATTGAGACCTGTGTGTCCGAGTGTCACTAACGCTCCTGTTCCTGCTCCCATCCTTGTGCTGTTAAGAACTTTTTTAACCGTTTTATGTTCCTACTAACATTGCATTTAAACCTGCATATCCTGTGATTGTCCAGGTTTTCAGGGTGGGAAGGAGGGCAACGTGCGAAGCTAACTTTAGTACATTAGTTAGCTGGTTATTGGTGCTGTAATTTCTTTGTACCATTTGCCATTTATTTTTGGTCCAACTCTACTGAACAAATGCATGTAGTTGTACAATCTAACCAACACCACAAATCACAGAAGAAAAGAATATATATAAGGCTATAGTATTATTGTCCCCTGTCCATTTCTTTATTGCTACTTTATCATTTATCTACTGAAGCTGATTTGTCCTATTCCAGGAGTATGGAGCCGGCGAGGGGACATGGGAGATTTTTTTTCTTTTGCGTTCCCACGGAATAGTATTGCGTTACCTCGCAATACCTTTTGCGTTCCCTCGCAAAAGTAGTTTATCACTGTTGTGCCCGCCGGTTTATTAACAAATTCACCTGCTCACCATTTGCGAGTCAGCCTACTGCTTTAATTCAGCTTCAGAATGGATATATCACACAGCCACACATGGAAGTATGTCATATGCTGATATTTTAACACAGTGCAGCCACGCAACATCAATGTCAATTTCACGAACTTGTAGCGACACATCCTGTTTTGGTAACCGGATATTTCAAAATAAAAGTCTGATTTAATTCAGGTCATATACAAAACAATGTTTAGCGTGGGAACGCAAAATGATTTTGCGAGGTAACGCAAAAGTATTGTGAGGTAACGCAAAAGTATTGCGAGGTAACGCAAAAGTATTGTGAGGTAACGCAAAAGTATTGCGAGGTAACGCAAAGATATTGCGAGGTAGCGCAAAAGTATTGCAAGTTAACGCAATACTATTGCATGGGAATGCAAAAGAAAAAAAACCTCCCCATGTCCCCTCGCCGGCTCCGTACAGGAGAATGGTTCAGAGATTGAWAACAAAAGGAAAGTTACTCCAATTCACCATTTTATAAGTGTTGTATTGCTCAGTCACATGGAACAAAATTTGTATTTCCAAGCACAAACACAGGGGAGAGGGGTAAAGTTATATTAGAAGTATAAAATGCATTTCTTCTGTCAGCTTTGGAGCTGTTGAAAGGTGTTGAATAAACAAGCGCAGAAGAAAGTTGTAACCGTAACCTCTCCTTTGAGGCAACAGAACCGTGAGCTTTGAAGCATTTTGTAGTTTATTTACTCTTCCTCCAAGTATGAGGAATTTAATTATTTATTTGTGAATGCTATTTGTAGCTTTGTTTTATGGTATTTTCCTAACCTGGCCCTTGCCTTCCTATGCAGCTCCGCTCCCAATTTTTATTTTATTTTTTTGAACAGACATTTTATAGAATCAGTGCAACATTTAGTTGCATCATCTGTGGTGTAATCAATAGAAATGTTTCCCTCGACCGTCCTTTTGTCAACATAACTTTTGAAGACTTTCCTCTCCCCTGTGTCGTTTCTCCAGCCTCATTAATTTCTTGGTAACTTGCTCACTGTTTCTATATTCCAGCTGGACGACCGAAGCAGAAAGGTAGTTGGCATCTCCTACTTTCTGAATCCTTTTATTTCTTATTTTTCCTCCCTGTTGGACATTTCCTGTCACTCTCTGCCCTCTGTATGGGTGTTGGTGGATAGCTGAAAGTGTATTTTTTTTCTCATGTCTTCCTCCTGACTGATTTCCCAGAGATTGGACTCCTCTCCTCTTGTCTCTGATTTGTGAATTTCTGCTCGTGTTTTTTTGGGGGAAATGTCAGATGTTTTGTCACACAATGGACACTCCTGTGTGAGTGTTTATGTGTGTTGAAATAAGCGACAGCTTGACGGCCATACTCACAAAGCCCTGCGTTCAGATAAGAGCATCCCTTTGTGTCACAACTAAATAGAAAAAAACTGAACCAGTAGGTACCTGGAGTTTTGTGAATATGGTGCTTTTTTTGTTATATTTTCAAACTGTGTGTTTGTGTGTGCTCAGATTGTCTTTGGGCATTTATGCCGAGAGCGTGCATATTCATATTGCACCAAATCTCCAAGGAGCACAGCCCGACAAACTAATCCATTTGTTTCCCAATGACCACTGATGTCCTGCTTTGTTGATCGGCAGCGAACACACCGTCAGCACCTCTAGCTCTGATGCCGCCYCCGCCTTCTAACACAACACCGGTGAACAGCGTGGGCCGCTTGCAGATGAAGCTTCATCTGCACGGTCTTCAGCAAAACGCCACCGACCTGCGCAAACAGCTCGCTCAGCTACGSAAGACGCAGGTAAAAAGCCATTTATCAGTTTTTTTAAACAATCTGTTGCATAACATATAGTACATTTCTGTTTGCATGCATTATTTCTGTCAGTTTCAGTTTTGAACTACATTATTTACATCATATACTGCTTTATAATTTAATGTTTTTTGCTTGTCGTTTGGTATTTTGAATTCATCGGTTGCTTCTTACAGCAAATGGCAGCTGACATTCGTAAACACAGTCATAAGCTTAGAGCTATATTGAAATTATTGATGAGTATGCTCTGCTGTCTCTGTTGGAATTTCTATCTGATTCATATAAATTGCATTTCATTTACATAAACACCTTTTCTCCCTGCACTTACTGTAATCCTTTACGACAGCGGAAAACAAGAAAACCTTGTTTCTCACCTTTATATTTAGACTTTTCATTTCTAAAAGGCATAGCTCAAATCTGAGTCAGTCTCAGCAAAGAACCTAAAAGATCCAGCAAGTCTATAAGGACTGTTGGAAATTATATTTGAGGAGGTTTAATCTATCAGATTTCATTATTTTTTTAACATTTCATGCAATAAAAAGTTATACAAAGTGCTTCACACCAGGTTCAAACAGTAAAAGCATAAAAGAAAAGCAGAGGTTTATAGTAAAAAAGTACATTTACTTTGTTACAGTACCTAATTTTTTTGAGGATCTGTAATTTTCTCGTGTATTTTTTAAAATCGTATCTTTTACTTTTATTTTGTTACATTCAAAACGTAAAAATGATACTTTTACTTCTTTACTTTTGCTTTTATACTATGGAGAGCCGTTTTAGCCAAAATTAAATAAATAAATAAATGGGTGAAATAAATCAAAAAATGAAGAAAATGAGTGAAATAAATTAAAAATTTGTTAAATAAATAACTTA